GGGGAGGGAGGGAGTGTGAGAGGAGGGGAGGGAGGAGGGAGAAGAGACAAGAGAGGGATCATGGGAGGATAAGGAAAGTAGGAAGGAGAGGAAGAGGAGGGGGAGGGAATGGAAAGAGGAATGGGAGAAGAAGGCGAGAGGAGGGAGGGGAGAGGAAGACGAGGGAAGGGAGGGGAGGAGGAGGGAGGGGAGGGGAAGAGGAGGGAGGGGAGGGGAAGAGGAGGAGACCTCTAGCGCCTTCTCCTTCCTCCCTCTGTTGAGGAGATCAGCCTCTCTGTCGATGAGCTCGATGAGCTCCTTTGCCAGTTTCGTCTCGAACTCCTTGACAGTCCACTTGACATGCAGGAGAACGTCCAACCTCTGCTCGCCCGTTAGAACACCCTCTCCCTTCCTCTCTCCCTCGTCTCGTCCCTCCCTCCCTCCCTCCCTCCCTCCGCCTCCTCCTCCCCCTTTGCTCTGATCCTTTCATTCTCTCTCACCTCGTCCACACGAAGATTCGAAAGGTTGAGCCCGTGATACAATTCGCTGTGAAGAACTTCAGTATCATGTCGTACCATCCTCCTTCCCCTCTCCTCCCTCATCCTCCTCTCCCTTCTTGCTCTCCTCCTCTCTCCTCCTTCTCCTCTCCCACCTTCCTCTCCTGCTCCTGCTCCTGCTCCTGCTCCTGCTCCTGCTCCTCTCTCTCCTTCCTCTCCTCCTCTCTCTCCTTCCTCTCCTCCTCTCTCTCCCCCATCCTCCCTCTTTCTCCTCCTCCTCTCTCCTCCTCCTCCTCACCTTAGCTCTTTGGCCCTTGAGTTTTCTGGTGTAATGACTTCCTTCACTGTGCCTGACCGGATCGTGAGAGAAGACATGAATGAGCAAAACATTGCCAAGATCGGAAGGGAAAGAAGAATGTAAAAGGCGGACAAAAAGGAGGAGGGAGGACGGAGAGAATCGAGACGAGGAGGAGGAGGAGGAGTAGGTTACAGACCATCGCTGAGCTCCCATAGCTTTGGTTTGCTCATGAACTCGAGCTCCTTGATAATCGCCTCCGACTTGAGGTTCTTCTGAGCCGACGCTTTCAACTGCATTCGCTGTGAGAGAGGAGAGAGGAGAGAGGAGGGATGAAGCGACGGTGACGACGACCAGTAGGATGAGAACGAGTAGGAGGATAAGGGAGAAAGGAGAAAGGAGAAAGGGGGAGGGAGGAACGAGAACGAGGAATAAGGAGGGAGGAGGGAGTATTCAGGTAAAGCGTGCAACAAGCACGACCTTGTCGATTGTCTGGACGAGTTTCACTTCCTTGAGGAGCAGCTGGTAGCGAGCGTTTTGCTTCTCCTCCATGCTCATCTCACTGACCTGCAAATTCGATTGAGCTCCTCCTCCTCCTCCTCCTCCTCCTCCTCCACAGCTTGTCCGCGCTTACCTCGATCCTCTGCGTCTCCTGTATCCTCCACTGCTCGAGCTCATTGTACAAGATCTCAAAGTCCGCGGCTGTCTTAGGGTTTTTCCTCCTCTCCACCTCCCGCGCTCTCCTAGCCTCTCTCTCCCTCATTTCTTTCTCCTGCGATCCGATGAGCAAGGGACGAGGTAAAGGGAGAGGGGGACAGAGGGAGGGGAAGCAAATCCGAGATCCCATGGCAGAGGGGAGCTAGGCACACCTGCTGCTCCAGCATGTACTGCTTGTTGTACGCCAACTCGTAGCGATACTTGCGAGCCAACGTGCGAGCAAACATGCCGCGCGTGTAGCACTGGATGACAACTGTCGCCTCCAGCCTCCTTCTTTCCCACTCCTCGCTGTCAAGATATTCCCTCGGTTCTTCATGCGCACAAAGTCAGCTCTTCAATCACCCCCCTGGCCCCCCCCCTCCCCCTCTCTCTCTCTCCTCTTCTTCCTCCTCCTGCCCCCCTCTCCCCTCCTCACCGATCACATAGTCGCCCCCGTCCTCCAAGTGCAGGTCGTCCCTTGCCATCTGCGTCCCGCACTCCCGCACCGCCTGCATTGCCTTCTCGCTCGCCACCTTCGTCTGGGTCTCCCGGTGAAACTTGTTGGGAGCGTTCTGGTCGCTACCCTGCGCCTTCGCCGGGGCCTCAGTCTGGCTGGCAGCGTGGTGGTACTCGAGCCCGGTGACCTTGTGCCTGTAGCCCCCGTAATAGGGCTTCTTGTAGTCTTCGCGCGTTATGATGAGGCTGATGATCACCGGGGGGGTCCCGTCCCCCAGGTCGACCTCGATGTCGCGGGAGTGCGGCAGCCCCATGGACCCTCTGAAGGCAGCGTGGAGCTCCAACGAGCCCATGTCGGCCCCCTGGTCTTGTCTTTCCTCCCCTTCGGCTTCAGCCTCCTGCTCTCCACCCACCTCCTCTGAAGCAGACGGCTCCTGCTGCTCCTCGTGCGCCCTTCCCTCAGCAGCTCCAGCTACTCCATCTGTAGCTTCGGCTGCATCATCCTCTGCCTTTCCGATATTCTGATCATCACCCTCCTTTGCCTGATCTTCCACTTGTTCAGTTGTCTTGGTTTCATTCTCCTCAACCGCACTTTGATCTGTACGTTGCGATCAACATCCCCACCCCCAGTCACATCGTCGTGTTCCTCACCTTCTGCAGCCCTGTTTTCGTCTCTTGCTCCTGCTTCTTCCTCTCCTTCTCCCACTCCCTCTCCTCCTCCTCCTCCTCCTCCTCCCCCCCCCTCCCTTCCTCCTCCTTCTTCTCCTCCTCCTTCTGCTCCTTCTCCCTCTGCTCCTCCTCCTCTGCTCCTCCTCCCTCTGCTCCTCCTCCTCCCTCTGCTCCTCCTCCTCCCTCTGTTCCTCCCTGAGCATCGGAGTCGCTCGTAGCAGGGGCATCCTTGGCAGCATCAGCTCCTGAGCCTTCTGGGTCCTGATCGGCAGAAGGGGCAGGCTCTGCCTCGGCGGGTTCCCCCTCGGCACCAGCCGATGCTTCGGCAGTGTCTGCAGCGGCTTCCTGACCTTCACTCGTTGCTTCTGCGGCAGCTTCTCCGTTGACTCGCTCCTCCTCCTCGTTGTTCTCTCCCTGTACAACAGCGCTCGGCTCCCCTTCTTCGGCCATCCTTTAAAGCTGTGCGAACAAAAGATCAGTTTTGGTCATGGACCCGGAATACTTCTCTCCTATAGATTTCCCAAGTATCACGACTTCTGTCTCACATCATCTTTCTCTCTGGCTCTCCTCTTCCTCTCTGGCCTCTTCGATTCTTTTGAAGTCATTCAGTGGTTTGCTGTTATGTACAAGGGTCCTGGATTTTATACGTGAAGGTTGAGCAGAGAAACTGAGGGCCAGAGGCACTCTAGAGGCACTCTCCTCTAGTTTCTGCAGACATCGTTACAATCTCCAATCAACGAACATCATCGTTCCTCTGCGTCTTCGGTCATACTCATCTGAACGCTCCTCCATATTCCCATTCGGACAAGTCCACCACATTCTGATATCTCTGTATATTCCATCCCCTGTCATCATACTCTTTCTTCTCCTGCTCTTCTTCTCCTGCACAGTCTCTCTCCCTACATCCTCTCCTCCTCCTGCTCCTCCTACTCGTTCCTCTCCTCCCCTGCCTCCCTCACGCGCCCCGTCCTGCTCGCCATCTCAACGACTGTTACCGTTGAATTCTGTAACGGTCAAACAGCCGTTGAGCATCCGGGGCCCGGGGCCCGGCCAGGGGCCACAAGACTCCGAGACTACTAGCTAGTTACTGGACGGCTGCTAGTAAAGACCTGGCCCTTAAGACGCTGACCTGGACTATGTGGGTAGGGGTGATCACCCCTACCCACATAGTCCCTTGATTTTTGTGGGGTTCAACATGTGTAGGGGATACACCTCATGAATAATTGGGGTGGGGGGTTCCAGTTACACCGACATCACCGGTCCTTTTTCATGAAAAATCAGAGGTGTTTTTCATTTAGGGGGGTGGGTGGAGGGGGTGGGTGGAGGAGGTTATTCCACCTTTTCACTTAACTTCTACACAGGGTGGGGGTGGTGTTAAAATCGGGGTGAGGGGTTCTTGTCAAGCTCGGGTGATAGGCAGAAGGGTGGGTAGGAGGTAGGTAGTTGGGTAGGTGGATAAAACAAATTGGAGTGGGGGTCATTGTGAGGATCCTGAGGGGTAGTAATCAGAATACAGGTGTATGTATGGGTAGACCTAAGGATTTGTGTTTCTTTGGGTAGGGGGGTATGAAAAGTAGGGGGTTATGGAAAATGATTACCCCTACATATCTATGAAAAGAATCTATTACAGAATGGGTACTGTGAGAAATATGAGGGGTACAGGAATGTTGTAGTAGGTAGGGGTTATTTCTCAAGGGTACATGTCAGTGGGGGTGATCATGAAAGTGGGTGGGGGTTGTGGGTCCCCTTGTAAATATGCTCCATGCTCGCGGTTCTGAGACGCTTCAAGCGCTCACTCGCACCATGCTGCTTCTCCTGCTCCTGCTCTCCTTCTCCTCGTCATCCTCGACAGCCTGCGATCCTAACCCGATGCTGGTGTTGTTTAATGTGTCCTCGTCAAAGTCTTGTTTCCTCCCTGGACTGAGTTGCAAGTCTTGCAACATAGGCGCATTTGCTGTTGTGTATGCAGATTTCTCAAGAAGTTTGATGAAATTGCTTATCGTGTTGATTGATTTGTAATGATGCGAAGATTCATCTTACATGATCCTCTCTGTATCAGTGAGCATCTACTAGTTGACGACAAAGGACTTTTTGCCTCTAAATCACACTCCTCTTCGAACTCTGTCTCAATCCGCTCATTGTACTTCTCGCTCATCTGCTTGACATGCCATGGGCGGCTGGTTGGAGTGACTGCCATTGTTGCAGGCATGGTTCAAGACCTCGGAGAATTCTCCCAGCACTGCGTGCACGAGCGATCCCTCGAAAGTTCACGCCCTGCAGGAGAGAACCACTGGTTCCTTGCTGCAGACATCCTCGACTTGATCTTCTCCCGGTGCTTCCTCCCTCCCCTCCCCTCCCGCGCGCCCCTCGTTCTGATCCCTTGGCAGGCTCAACGATGGACTCGAGCTGGGGAAGTGCTGCAGGGTGAACAGGCTGTGGAGTGAGATCACAAACTCCGACAAGTTCTGGCAAGCTCTCGTCAAGAGGAGGTGGCAGATCAAGGAGCTGGTGCGCTACTCCAGCGGTCCCCTGGCCTCGGAGCGCAACAGCTTCTTGAAGAAGATCTACTCGCAGTGGCACAGGAGCTGCAGGCAGCCGTCGAGCAGCTTCTCAGGGGACAGGTACCCACCCTTCGCATCCTCCATGAGCAGATCGAAGACTAGCCAGAGGTTCGAGCGCTTCCATGGCGTCCGGTTCTCCCGTTCTTCGAAGCGCGCTGCTCCTGCCTCGGGGCCTTCGGTCTACAACCTGTACATGTGGGTCAACTGCGTCCACTCCAGCGACTGCACGTTGAGCTCGAGCATGCTGGGGCTCCATGTCGTCGTGCAGAACTTCGGCAAAGTCCCCCTGCGCCTGTTCCCAGACCAAGTCTGCCTCCAGCTGAAGACGGGGGAGAAGCAGTATGCATCCTGGGTGAGGTGTGAAGGGGGGCAGCGGGGGGTGTACCTTGCTGTCGGGCAGGGGGAGGGGGTGGTTGAGGACCAGGAGCAGCTGGAAGGCTGCAAGGAGGTTGTGCTGGGACAGTGGGACTTTGCGGTGATCGGAACTTGTTACTTCCACATGCCATGCGAGGCGATGTTCGAGCCCGACGCGCTGGAACTTTGTGACGAGGTAAGGGGAGGGATGGAGGAGCGTGCGAGACGGGGGGGGAGGGGGAGAAGGTGGAAAGGGAATGGGGGTTAGTCAGAGAGGCAGGAGTGGAGGCGGGAGGAAGGGACGAAGGGACGAAGAGGAGTGGGATCGCTTTGACCTGCCCGTGCAGCTGAGCGTCTATGTGGAGCGGGCGGATGGTAATGCATCGTTGGAAGCTATGAATAAGGTGAGGCGGGCTGGAACAAACTGCAGGGGAATGGCTGAACTTCTCTGCAGGAGTCAGCGGACGAGTATGAGGGAAGTTCGAGGCATGTCACTGCCAAGGTGGTTGAGCTCTCATCGTGCGAGCTGAGGTGACTCTTTGTGCAGTTCGACGAGAATCGCATATGGCGACACTACACCGAAGTGAACTCCAAGGTGATGGATCAGCTTCTGCTCTACTTGCCCTCCTCCGTTCTCTCTCTTTGCTTCCTCCGTGCCCTCCCTCTCCCTGCCATGTAAGGGGTTCGAACCTGACGGAGCTGTACAGTTCTGGGTGTTCCACGAGAGGCCGACCATCGCAGGAGGTATCTAGAGCTACCTCCAACCCGTCCGTGAAAATTTAACGACGAGGTGTTGTAACAAAGCAGCCAATTCTCAAATGCGACCTCAGTCACGATACAACTCTCTGTTCACGACTTCCTCTTCCTTCTAACCTCAAATCGTATCATTCATTCACACCTCCACTCCTCCTCTACTCTATCACCCTCCCTCCCCCCCTCCTGCCCACCATCCTCCATCCCCCGGCAGAGACTTCCAACGCTTCTTAGCTCACTCCATCAACTCCTCGCGCACCAGGACCACCCGGCGGGCCCGGCGGCCCAGGGAGTCCGATAACACCTGCACTCAACATCACCTACTCGTTCACAGGCATCGAGCTTCGCACCTTCAGCTCCAGGAGGACCAGGGGGCCCTTCGTGTCCTCCTGCTCCTGGGATTCCAATTGCCCCTTGCGGGCCCCTGCCAGCAGCCTCACTCGCTTCCTCCTTTCCCCTCCCCCGCCCCCCGCCCCCACCCCCCCCTTGAATCTCCTCCGCAAGCGCTCACCTGATCCCCTGCGGTCCAGGAGGTCCAGGAGGTCCCAGTTCCCCCATGTCACCTCGCGGGCCCCGCGGACCCGGCTCCCCATTCCTTCCAGGCATCTGCGGGGCGTCAACAGGAGAGAAGGAGGCGGAGGCGGAGGCGGAGGCGGAGGCAGCTCACCCCCTGAGGCCCTTCAGGACCACTTTCTCCGCGCGGTCCAGGCATGTAGGAGATGCCGTCAGGTCCAGGAAGCCCTGCGAATTACAACTCTTTGGTCAGGAGAGAGGGGAGAGGGAAGGAGAAGAAGGAGGAGGGGAAGAGGGAGGGGGGAAAGAAAAGAGAAAGACAGACACGTTGGTGGCAAAGAGGCGAAGCATGGAGAGTGAGTTGAAGGGAGGCAAAGCAACCTGGAACCCCTGGAGGACCCTGCGGGCCCCTCAAGTGAGCGATCTTGTCTATCCTCTGTTCCAACTGAACAGCAGCAGGTCACCGACGCGTGGAGCAGCGAGGCAGGTTCGGGTGCACGGGGGGCCTAAGAAGGAGCGGGAGTCTGAGGGGGGTAGGCCCTTACCTCATCGTTCTGCTGCGCGAGCTCTACAAGTCTCTGGTGCAGCTTCGCCATGAGCTCGGTTGTCTGTGCCCTGATCGACTTCTCCGACTCCTTCAGGTAGTCCAGTCGAGCCTTCACCTCTTGAACACTAATCGTGCCGTCCTCCACCTGCACTGCAAGCTTCAGCCTCCCGCCGAGGACGATCCTCCATGTCCCACCTCGTCAAGGAGATGGTCGAGCTTCCCCACTGAGATCTTCTTGACCTCCCGCTGCTCCTCCGTCGATCCCAACCCCGTCAGCAGCGTCGCTAGCCTTCCTCCTATGGAGCTGAGCACATGATGCGCAGCTCCTATCACGCCGGCAGGCAGCAGGGAGTCCCGTTGCAGCTCCTCCTGCATCTTCTCCACCGATTGGTCGTACTTGTTTGGCAGGACATACGTTGTGAGCTCAGACGGTTCCTCCCGCTGTGGGCTGCTGAGCGCCAGGGCCAGCACAACCAGCAGGGGCGTCACAGCAAGGAGCGCGAGGCGGGAGTACCATGATCTCGACCTCATCTCCTTTCCCTCTCTCCTCAGCAATCGAGCATCCTCTGTCCTCTGTCTCACTGATATCAGCGATTCCCTCCTGCTCCTCTTCCTGCTCCCGCTCCCTTGCTCGCAATGTCCTTCCTCAAGAGACACCCTTCACAGACCACCCCTATCCATGACCCTACAATCTCTCTTCAAAGTAGGGGTCCATGAGACTTATCATTGGAAGGTTATGAGCCCTCATTCCCTTTGGCTCCTGTTCACCCGGAGTCCCGGCCCGGCTGACCCGGGGTAACATAATTCAATTAGCTCGAGCCCTTTCATTAACCCCCACCCCCACTTTTCCCCTTGATTACCCCCATTTTCATAGTCAACCACCCCCACCCACCTTGCACCTAAGGGCGACGGAGCAATATGGGCAGCGACACGGCGTCGGGGCGGCTCACGGAGCGGATGAGGAAGAGCACACGGCGCATACACGGAAAGACCGACCGCCTGGCCAGCATGAACTTTGCTCTCGTCCTTACAGACAGGTCTGTTCTCTCCTCCATCCCACCATTCGCTCGTCGGCTCACCGTTTGTTGCATCTTGGTCGCTCCGCAGAGCCCTCTACGCGAAGTTGCTGGGCAGCTTCTACATGGTGTACAGGGAGCTGGAGGCTGCCATGGATCGATGCAGAGATAATGAACACGTCGGTCATGTTTTCCCTCTGTTGGACAAGATGAGACGGACCAAAGCGTTTGAGGTATCTTCCCTGATCGAGTTCGTTGACTTAGTGAACTACGTGACTACAGGCCGATCTTCTTTTCTTCTTGGGAAAGGACTGGGCAAAGACTCTAATTGTGAATGAAGGTGTTTAACATTCCCTTAAGTTAGAACTCTTACCACCTGTTGGTTCGAACTACAACAGCGGTAGAGAAGTACCTAGCCAGGATCGCTGAGCTCGAGAAGAAGGACCCAGCCTTGCTGCTGGCATATTCGTATCACCTTTACATGGCATTTCTGGTAATCAGCGCAAACAATCAAAGAATGAGAGACGAGGACGCGGCGTTGTGACTTTTCTTTGCTGCAGTTCGGAGGGAAAGTGATCAAGAAAACTGTTTCTACCATGCTAAGCCTCAGGGTGAGGGACGAGGCGGGTGGATGCCAGCATGAGAGAAGTCCTTACCGCTCAAGCAGGGCGAGGAGGGGTTAGCGGTGTTTGCTATGGGGGGAGCAAAGCCTTCAGAATACAAAGACAGCTATGACGAACTGGTTCTGTCCGAAGACCAGACGGTATCTACAAATCCATGAGTGCAGCCTTTCGTTCACCACTGCGCTTTTAAAAGGAAGAACTCCTCAAGGAGTCTGTGGAAGTTTTTGCCATGAACAACAACGTGACATCCTTTACGTTTGCTTCCTCCGGTTCTCAGCTTCCTGCAGATCGTGATGAGCTTTGCGCGGACCGTCACATGGAGGAATTGGCTAGCATCGCTCAGGAATCCTTGGGTCCAGGTCTCGCCTCCCTGTGCACATCGTCGATCCCCTCCATTGAGTCCTATCTAATGACAGGCAGTGGTCGTTGCTGCTATCGGCGCATCTGTAGCTCTGTATCTGAGCTTGACGAGGGGAGTGAAGAAGTAGAATCGGGACTTGAGATTCATGCAGAGCATGTTTCTGTGAGTCTTAGAAGAGTAATTTTATTGTAAAGAAGAATGAATCTACACATTTATATTATTGTACACATACATCTGAGTTCTATCTGACGTTAGGACATGTTGCTTCTATGGTACACGCATCTAAGAGAACACCCTGCACTTTGATCTACATGATGTTCAACTCCCCGATGTGGATGTCGCTTTCAATGTTGATGTCGCTCTGAATCAATTTCAGGCGGTCGATCATTTGCAACCTTGTGATCTCCCTCGTTTCTTTGAACGATGGGCTCGGGTGTTGTACAAGAATCTCCATCCTCTTCACAGCTCTTACCGCATTCAAAGCCTGCGTATCCAGTCAACCACCCTCCGGTTGCAGCACAGCAAAATATCTTCCTCACCTTACGGCTCCTACGAGTCTCCATGTACATGGAAAGTTTGGCCGTGCTGTTGAGGTTCCTTGTGTCGAGAGTCTTGATGTTGGTGATGTATGGATGGCGGAGAAGCTGGCTTGCTGTCGGCCTAAACTTTGGATCCACGGTCAACAGCAGCGACACGAACTCCTTAGTCCTTTTGGATATGCCTCTCCATTCATCTGAATTGAAGTTGTAGCAGCCGTGCTGGATGTTGAACAGCATGACAGCTCTGTTTTCATGAAAGAATGGCGGGTAGCCGCAGATCATAATGTAAAGGATAACCCCAATCGCCCAGATGTCCACAGCCTCGCCATATCCTTGCCCGGCTCTTCTCTTCTTGTCCTTGATCAATGCACAATGAATCATCTCCGGCGCCATGTATTCGGGGGTCCCGCAGGCTGTGGTCATCGAGTCGTCCTCCTGGTGCTTGAGAGAGCTGAGGCCGAAGTCCGTGATCTTCACCATGTTGTACTGCATCGACTTGGAGTTCGACGACATCATCAGGAGGTTCTCTGGCTTTATGTCCCTGACGCAAGCGGTAAGGATCAACAACGTCCACAAACAGCATGCGTTACCTGTGAACGATCTCCTTGCTGTGAAGGTACGCGATGCCCTCGATGACCTGCTTGATAATAACGGCGGCGTCCTTCTCACTGATATGGCCAAGTTGTATCAGGCGCTCAAACAACTCTCCACCTTCCAGACAAATCGTCAGAACATCCTCTGAACAGCGCATGAGCCATCAAGAGTACCTGTGCACAGCTCCTCCACCAGGTAGATGGCTGTGGGTGTCTCGATGACGTCCATGAGCGATACGCAACGTGGGCATTGGATCCTGCTCATGATGTCGATCTCCCTCTCGACCAGCGTCGCCTTGTAGTTGGGATGTTTCTTCAGGATCACTTTGACCGCGACATCGAACCCGTCGGTCCTCCTCTTGCCCTTGTACGTCTTGGCGAACGTGCCTGACCCAAGAAGTGCTCCTAGGTCGTACAGGGTTGGAACTTCAATGCTTGCACGCCTTGATCGCTGCGCGCAAGCCACGGGAGTATCCACCAAATTCTTAGCGTGTGAGCAGCCGCAGCCCATCTTGCAAAATGTTCGCAAATGAAATAACCCTATGTGGGTTGCAGTTTGTGTATGTGCAGTGGTATGATAATAAGTGAATTAATTGAGGCGCAAGGAAGAGGGTATGAAGTACAAGCAGAGAACAAGGTAACGGGGTTGGGGGTTCAAGAAGGTTAAGCTTATGACTGTAGAACGACGAGGGAAGGAGGAGCGGTAGGGAGCGGCGAGGAAGGGGAGGGGGGGGGCGGGGGCGGACGTGAGCTGAGGAAGGAACTGATTGTGTTCCCCGGAGAATGGAAGGGTAGTGGTATATACCGGTGGTGGATAGTACCCCTTTTCTGGCTACGTTATTGCTCTGAGTACCTCGAGTTGAAAAGATTTCTTTTAAAACTGGGGGTGGGGGTACAGATCTTGATAAGAGAGTTCTTAATCGGAGGACCGGAAAGGGGACACGAGTCAGACCGTGAGGTAGTTCAAAGGGGGTCAGAAATGGATGGGGTGGGTACTAAAGGCCCAAATTGGTGGAATTGATGGTGGGGGTGGTCAATCGGGTTATCCGGGCGGAAGGCTGAAAGGCTGAAACCCATTTCAGTCAGATGCTGTTGTAAATTTGCTGTGAGTTGGGGTGGGGTGGTAGTACCAGGGGTGGTGTACAATTGAGACTTTTGGAATTTCGTACAGGGGTGGGGGTACCCTTAGTAGAAATTGCAGTACATGGGGCGGGGTTCCCCATGATGGTCATGTGAATTTCTATAAGCGGAAGGGGTAGCGATGAGCGAGCTGGCAGGAAGGTAGGGTACAAAGCCTGCTTCCATATGAGTAGGGGTATGTATAGAATCTGTATGAATTTGAGGGCTATATAACCGGTACTTAACAGAGAGAGTTAGTATGTAAATTGATGGGGTACCTCCACTTCGAGCATTTTTACACTCGACAAACAGTAGGGGGATGGGTGGGGTAAAATGTCAGCCAATGAGGGTGGTAAAGTTTCCCCCGTAAATGTACTAGTAAACATGCAACGATTGGTTGAAGTTGCCGAAAATTGTACTAGGGGTGGTGAGGAAAATGCGATACTGACCCATCCTCTTTCCTAGAAAAGAAACCGAAAAGAAGGGTGGGTGGTTGAGTGATCTGACGGTGGGTCCTACCGGAGCAGGTGATTTCGCAGTAAAGATTAAGAGTATTCTTTGATGAGTAAAAGTACTCTAGCCTGTTAGTGGATTGACGGGCGGACAAAAGGTGGGGTAGTTTTCAGGTAAAACGTGGGGTGTTAAGGATGCAGTCACGGGTTCGCTGTCTCATTTCCACTGAATAGCGTTTTTTAAAGTGACTGAGTCAGCATGCGGTTAGGATTCTGAGTGACGCTGACACGGATTACAACGGAGGGTTTATCCATCGTTTGCAGATACTGTAAAGTATCCGGAACGTTGTTTTAATGCAGCGTTCTGACGTCTCAGATACATACCTTGGGCCTTTGCTTCCACAGGATAGGGCGTCTCGCCCCCTGGTTGATGACCAGGTCACAGGTGTCACGTCCGCAGAAGTCAGAGCTCAGAAGGGAAGCATGAGACGTGTCATGTGAGGTCGTTAAGATATTTGCTTAAAGGGGAAGGGGGCAAATATGGGAAGATTTGCAGGGGAGAAGGGGATGGGTAGTGTTCGTGACAGAAGGCATGGGTACTGAGGCTGAGGTATTCTGCAGATGGAGCGCATGTACGAGTATGACATAGGAGCTGATGCTCAAACACGAAAAAGCAAATGGCATCATGGCTCGTGATACGATGTAATGAGTTGGGTCCGCAAGTGCATTTCTGTTGAGATGCGGTGTGAGTGGATGGAGGAAAAGGAGGGACAGAGGTACTGTATAGGAAAAGACAACGCTGGTATGTTTGCACATATATCCCAGCTCGTGATAAAGGAGAAGGGAGGGAGGGAGGGAGGGAGGGAGGGAGGAAGCGTGGATGGAAAGGTCATTGATAGAAGTCAGATTTAAAGAGAAAACGACAGAAGCATTGAGCAACATGAGGATAGAAATGTACATGTTTGTGATCTGAGGTCGATGGTCCACTTGAACCAAAAAAAAATTTGAAAAAAAAGGTCGACTTGAACTCGTAGAGGCAAAAGACTATGAAAAAGATGTCTTTTTGAAGTTGACAGTGAACAGCAAGATAATTTACCCATCTTGGTCAGATTCAGTGTCACAAATTTCTGTTTGGCAACGTAATCTATTTTTTCGTTCTACTTTGGAAGGTGCATAATGCTCCCAACGTCTAGTTGCTCATCAGACTTAATAAGAATAGAGAATGCGAAAGGACAGAAACAACCCTTGAGCGACAAGAAGTGACTAATTTCAAATCTCCTCGGTCGTGTTTGCTGCAGGATTTAAATTGGGAAAGCATTTTGCACGTGCCATCGCTACATGTTGACATAAGATTGTACTTTGCGACGCTTTGATGCGTGGCAAAAATTTGACCCCAGTCTTCATTGCCGTCTTTTCAATAAACAATGCTAAAGGCGAAACCGGATTGTATCCAAAACTTGAATTGTGCGCCTGAAAATTTCAAACGAGATTCTCGATTCATTCCAGCTTCTCTTATTCCTTCAAGCTTTGGCTGCATTGGTACTTCCTCTGGCTGAAGGTCAATAAAGTGCACACAAACTTCTCCGTTGCTTCTTGCACTTATAATCATGCCTTCGATGTCACTTGGTGCAACCAACTACTCTTTGAGACATCGATGATAGAACGTCTAGAAACATGTAGAGAACAATCGTGTAGAGAACAATAGTGTACCTCTCATCTTGTGTCACTCTCTGCTTGCTCCTCATCTCCAGCAACTATACCTCCCCAACATTGCTACTCGGTGCATACCCTCCTGAATCACCAGTACAAAGTTTTACTCAAATTTCCACAAACTTTCCTCTCTGCGAGTAGTGAGGTACCGGTCATAACATCCTTTCACGAATAGTTGCACATAATCATGGGGGTAATTTCGTGGGAAAATTCAGGGTGGGGTTTGATCAAAAAGTGATATGAGCATGGGTGGGGTAGTCTCATTTTGCCGCGTGAAAC